TCGAAGGGTATACTAAATTTGCCTTACCGTTTGTAACGCTAAGAAATAACAGTGTTAGATATAGACTCAAGTGTATGTTTTTGATCAGCGTCAAATTCTGAGTTGATTTAGCTTTGTCTGTCCGTCCGCCCGTCCGAACGGTAACTCAAAAACTAATTGAGCTAAGTTCACCAAATTTTCACAAATGATTTATTGTAGTAAGTCCCAGAACCCTATTTAAATTGGACATGATCGGGGTACCGGTTCGGGTAGCTGCCATACAATTTCAAAATTTATTTGGCTATATCTCAGAAACTATAAAAGTTGTGGTATTGAGATTTCACACAAGTGAATATATTAGTAGGGCCGATGTGCTTGATAAAATTCGCTAAAATTTCTTGGCTCTTTCTGGTAGCTGCCATACAACTTTAATAGTAGTTTGGCACAACCAGTATTTTGAAAAACACATAGTACTGAAATTTTGCATAAATTAATATGGTAATACGGCAACTTAAATTCATAGTCTGCCCCATAGTTAGTTATGGCATATTAGTTATTCGTACATAGGATAACAAATTCGTACGGGTATCACAGAGTTGACAAGGTCAACTCTATTTTTTTTCTCGTTGGTAATGTTCTTATGAGTGGAAAATTTTAAGTAACAATTTTGAATGAAATCTTTCGAGTGACTGTGCTCAGTTTCTTTTAATGTTTTCCTTTGTCCGTTTTCTTAAAAGTAAAAATTTTGAGCAAAATTCTTAAAAAATTTTTGAGTGTAATTCTTTGAAAAACTTATTTTTTAAGTGATCTCTATAATAACATTTTGGTTTTTAGAAATACTCATTTTTTAATTAATTTTTTAAAGTACGGTCAACTTGGGTTACGATTAATTTTGGTGACGTAGAAAAGTTTGTGACACCGTTACGAGTACAATGTGAAATTGCTATTGAATAAAATAAAACAAAAAGTAAAATTATTGTGTCACAAAATAGCACAATTATTTATTAACCATCCTTTGTAAAATTAAATGAATTTAAACAATAACACATAAAATAATTGAGAAAAATAATGGCACATTAACAATTCAATAAAGACTTACTTCAATTATTAATTCAGACTATTCTTTTTATATAACAAAATTTATAAAATTTAAACAATAGAAAAAATAAATAAATTATTAAAGCATTAAATAACGACCATAACGATTAAATGAAAATTTATAATTTTTAAACATTGTTTCAATACAACTAATAAAATGGCTTTACAGCATAACCGCTTATTGCTTTGCCTCATGTAAATTTTCCTTTAAATCAAATTAAATGGCATTTTTTTTAAACTTAATGAAATTCAGAAAAAAAACATTATTATAAGCATTAACTTAACTGTTTATAAAAAATTGTAATCGCTAATAATTTATATATCCTTGGAGCATATCTCTTTGCAGATACTAGTGTTTTTACTTAAAAATAAATTTTCTGCTGCTCAGTATTAACTATTTAATTATTGTATAGATTTTTTTATACACGATATTGTGTAGAATGTGGGTAGTTCGATTCCGAAAAACGTTACCAAATAATTTTGTTAAAATTTTTGTGAAACTTTTCAAGATTTTAAGAAAGTATTTTTTAAGTCTTCCGCCATAGCTATTGTCAGAGATTATACCAGCAGATTTAATTTGTGGGCCTTAATTATAACTACCATTCAGTATTTAAAATTCGACCAGTAAACTTTAAAATTTCAAAAGCAGTTTGTGAAAATTCAATTTGCCTATTGGCATTTTTAAGTTATCAGAGTGATAGGTAAGAATAATATTTCTTATACCAATCAGAGTAACAGGTATAAGAAATATTATTCAAAACGTAGTGTATAATATTCTTAATGAAAATTTGTTCAGTTCTTAATGAACTGAAAATTTTTTTATTATTTTTAAAAACCTTGTGGGCTAGATTTTAAGCAAAAATTTATTACCGTTATATGGATTAAGTGAAATTGGAAAATTTACATTTTCAAAAATGGAAATCAATAAAAATGAAGTAATAAAAAACTCTTCATCAAACCTGACAGTTTGCTGAAATCGCGAAACCCTTTACCTTCACTTACATTTCTGAAAATTAGAATTTTACATGTGCAAGCAAGTGCATGTTTTATTATCGCTTGTAGTTAATTTTTACAATTCCTGGATTTAAGAATATTTTCAACACAAACAACCTAAAAGTTTTATTATCAATCCATGTATTTCTTAGTCAAAACTACGTTCCCAACACACCCAGTTTAAAATTACTCTTGCGGAAATAAATAATTTAAAAATTTTTTTTGCAATTAACAGACAAATGAATTTGAACTAATAAGCAGAAACCGTTTTGAAATGCACTACAAATGGGCCCGTATTTGTATTTTCAAATTAAATACACGGTAAAAGTATATTTTCTTCATGGCACATTATTTTCATAGTAAATATTTTCATGTTTGCACCAATATTTTTTATGTATATATGTGAGTATGTTTATATGTTTATTAATGTATATTTACTCAAATGCTATTCTACAAAAATAAGTAAAACACACCACTTTTTTCCAAAATATAAAAAACAATATTGTAATACCCTTTGTGACATAAAAATTTAACAGTTGTGCAAAATAAAAAAAATTATGTATATTCACGTTCTCCGGTATTTAGGGAGCAAGTTTTCAAAACACAAAATCTTCTACAAAACAAAATGAGAGCCAAAATTTTTAATATAAGCAGTTTTAAAAGTAAATTAATTTCATTTTTCTTTTGTTTACTTGGAAAGCTATTTGTTGCATATTTCCAAAAAATTTTTGAGAGAGACTGCTGATTAGTTTCACTCTGTCCGTCCATCCTTGAACATGTTTAAAATCTTCTACACCCTTCAAGATAGAAATCCGAAATTTTTTTTACACATAGATCTTTACTCCAAACTTATTTCCGCAGAATAAGTTTCCTATCCATATTTCCTCTCCCACCAACATAAGTTATAACCCGTCAAAGACCTAAATAGACTCCTAAAAGACCATTTATTGCAGGAAAACCATAAGCATTTTTTAAATTTTTGCCTATCTCGCGCAATAAGCCCATAAATTCTAGCATTATGTTACGCCTCTATAAATTTTTTTTGCTTTATTTTAAAAGATTACATAGATTTATCATCCAAAATGTATGCAATTTTTTAAATATATTCTCCTACATGAAGGTTTTATACCCATACGAACATATGTTCGAAGGGTATACTAAATTTGCCTTACTGTTTATAATGCTAAGAAATAATGGTCTGAGATTTAGAATCAAGTATAATATGTTTTTGACCAGCGTCGAATTCTGAGTCGATTTAGCTTTGTCTTGACGGTAACTCAAAAATTAATTAAGCTAAGTTCACCAAATCCGCACAAATGATTTATTTTAGTAAATGCCAACACCTTATTAAAATTGGTTATGATCGTGGCACAGGTTCGGGTACCTGCCATACAACTTCTTTTTCTTCTTCAATTTATTTGGTTATAACTCAGAAAATATAAAAGCTGTGGAATTGGAATTTCACACAAACGAATACATTAACAGGGCCAATATGCTTGATAAAATTTGTTGAAATTGCTACGCTCGTTCTGGTAGCTATCATACAACTCCAAAAATTATTTGGCATTATCTTACAAATTATTGGAATTATAATACAGAAATCTCGTGAAAACAAGTGTATTATTAGGGCTGTTATGTGGGATAGAAATCGTCGAAATTATCTTTACTCCCCGAAGTAGGTGCTATACAAGTTCAAAAGTAGTTTGCCATATCTAATTCAGTACAATAGTAGTTTGGCCATATTCAGTAGAAAATATTGAAAAGTACTGAAATTTTGTACACAAAAAGTATACAGTACTGAAATTTTGCATAAAATAATATGCAAATATGGCAACTTAAAGTCGTAGCCTGTGCCATAGTCAGCTAAGGGATATTCATAACTCGCACAAAAAATAACAAATTCGTACGGGTATCGCAGAGTTGACACGGGTTCACTCTATTTTTTCTCGTTTAGTAATGTAGTTCAAAGAGTGTTTTCAAATGAAATATTTGCACTTATTGAAGGGAAAAATGCTACGTTACAAAGCATTGCTTTGACCCAACTTTATTTATATTTAAAAAAACGATATATTCCAAGAAGAAAATGAATGAACACGAAACTTTGTTTACAAAAAATTGTAATTCGGTTTTTTTCAAAGAATATCAATTTTCCTCGAAAAAAGAATAATAATTTCAAATTTCTGAACCGTTTTTTTGTTTTTTACTACAATGCCGAATGACAATATCATCTCATTCAATTTTTAGTGATGTAAAATTATTTTTCTCATAAATAGGTTCTACAAAGCATCCATATAGTTAATTAAAGTAAGTTAAAAATAATTAGGTATATATGAAAGGCTGCATTAAATATGTAGTTGTTTTTTCATAAAAATTGTAGTTATAATGAAATTCAATTACAGGAACAGAGTTAATTACTCGCGATTAAATAGCAGATAAAATACATTTCCATATAAAATCAAAAATCTTTGTAATACTGAATTGTGTGACGATCAATTTATCGACAATCACTTCACCGAGTGATCAATTTACCACAGCTTATTGAAAAGCAATTAATTTTATGAAGTAAATTTAGGGAAGCGACATTTTTGTAAGAACCGAAAATAAGAAAATTTAAATTAAAAATTTTGTCAGAGAACAGAAAAATGTAATAAACGCGAACTAGTCAATGTCAGATTTATGTCAGAATGTTTTACATAATTTTTTTTTAAAAAATTTTTAATAATGATGAGAAATTTTCTGATTACTGTGATTGCCCTACTTTTCTAAAGGGTATGAGAATACCTTAAAAATATTAAAATTTGTTGTTATTGCCAATTAGCATACATATTTATGATGTGCATATGTATGTATGTAATGATTTAGTTTTACACGCTTCTAAAAATATTTATGCATGTATGTTTCTTTTAATTTAAATTAAAATGTATACGTACCATTATTTATATTAGCAAATCCAAATGCGATCAATGTAAATGTTCTTAGTAAATTGTTGTATATCCTTGAAAAACGTACTCTTCCCACACAACCGCTCATTATTTATGATGTATTTAAATTATTTTTCTATATATTTTTCACTTTATTTTTTTTATTTTAACATACAATAATTTATTAACATGTTTTATTTTTCATTATCATATTAAAGAATTATTTTGTTTATGTTTACTTTTAAGAGCATCAGTAAACTGTTACAAATTATTTTAATTAGAGTAGAACTCAAACTAATTTCTTTACATTCACTTAAGTACATTTTGTTTTTTTATTTTATTCTTTTACAAAAATTTTTAATTTATTAAAGCTAATTAAATATTTTTTATATTTCATTATTCTTGAAATTTATTCATGTAAATTCTTATGTAAATTGTAAATAAATTTCACCATCTTACAAAGGCGTTGTATTTTTCAACAATTTGTTTTTATGAAATGTAAAGTACATTCCTAAAATAAAAAATATATTTTGCAATGTATTTGAATAATAAAATTGAAAGTGAATTTGAAAAATGCATTCTATTATTTTATTTCTATTTTAATTAATTTTGAAAAACCTTTTTTTGTTGTTATTTGAAAATATTGGCAACACGACAATTACATTTTATTTAAAGAAAAAGATACGATGCGATCAGCCCTTAACTAAACGCAATATATATTTTAGCGAAACTTTTAGAGAAGATTATCAAACAACTTACTTTAGAATTTTAAGGATACCAATAAGCTTTTAGTAAACATTGCTCAAAAAAAGTAAATTTGACTATTAGTAGAGTTTCGCTTTGTGCCATCCCGACTCCCTGAAAAGTTCGCCAGGTAGTTTTGTTAATAACCAAAACTCAAATATTAAATTTCAGAAAATCCCATCAATTAATTCCGGAGACATGGTTAAAAATTTTAAATATGAGTCGATTTTACATTTTTTACAATATCTCCGGAACCCCCGAATGGAAATATTAAATTTTAGGGAAGTTGTTTGAAGATTTCTCTTTATATGCGCAAAAATGAAAAATTGACCCACAAAAAGATGCAGTTCCCGAAACATATTATGAACCAACAGTTGATCAATTCGCCATATAGCCGAAATAAACTTAAATATAAAATTTTACCAAAATCGGTTCAACCAAACTCGGGATACAGGCGTACACATAGACTAACAAGCCGACAGACCCGTAAACTGACAGACATACAGGCAGACCGACACATTGAGCGACATCACTTTTAAAATAGTTTATTTACGCTTCCCTATCATGGAGAAGTGCATTCACATCGAAAGTTCGACATCCGAAATTTTAGTTCTATAACATAACCTCCGTTGTTGTATGCAATGCATTCACTAATAAGAAAAGATCGAAATTTCTAAAAATAGCATGAACAAACAACTTCAAGTAGGAGTTGATAATGCACATGAACTGAAGAAGCAATTTAAAATCCCCAAACCTAAAATATTTGGGGGACCTAAGAAAATACTTTACTCGCTTAGTTTATAACATATTTTCTTCTGAACAGCAAAACTTTAATAATTACAGAGAAATTTGGAAATATTTTTAAAAATTTTTATGGTTGTTGTTTTTAAAATCAAAAATTTTTTCCAATTTAATAGAATGAATACCTAAAAATCCATCAAACGGCAAAAGACAATAATTTTGCTAAGTGTTCAAGTTTTATGAAACTCTAAAGTTACAGCAGGTTTTAAGAATATAATAGAAATTTAAAATTTTTTGAAAAATTTAGTGTCCTCCTCGATGTTATTGTTAAGCGCTCCCATATAAAATGAATTTGATTCTAAAAATAATTATTAAAAATGAAGCTTCTTCTAACCGAAAATAATTTCGATAAAAGGTAAATTACAGAACGAAACCAACAACTTTGACATTTAGAATGAAAATAAAAAAAATTGAAACTTTCCCTCAAACAAATACAATTTTGTGTACGTATTTAACAGCAAAATCTGTTAAAATAGTAAAAATTGATGAAATAAGAATATTTTTTTTCAAAAAGGATTTTTCGATAGGAATCGTAAAAATTTTAAAACTCAAACCAAATAAGGAAAAAAAGTGTTTTCTTTTTGTTTTTTAAGAAAATCACGGTACAAAAAAAAAAAACAATTTTGTAATAGAAACTTCAAAGAACCGTTAATTTTATCTATGAATTTAGGAAAATTCGGTTTTTTTTTTTCATTTTATTTTCCCCAAAATTATTTTTTCAAGTTAGTTAAGTTTAAGGTTAGGTTATTGGCTTTAATTTTATTTTATGATTTTTATTATTTTTTACGGTTAGAAGTTTTCATTTTTATTGTTCTTTACCCCGATTTTAAACTCACCATTTATTTTATTTATTTTATAATGCCCAATTTTCTTGTTATAGAAGACTTGTATTAGTTCCAAAATATTAAGGCTCTGTTAATTTTTTTCTTCTTTTATCCTTATTATATTTAATTTTTTATTGTTTCTTTGTTATTGTTATTGTATTTCTTTAACATTGCCTTATTTGTTTTGTGGTTAGTACTACATATAAGGAATTAACTGTTCATATATCTATGTATATGTGTGTTTAAATACGAACACTACGCCGATATAAGCATATTGTATTTTTTAGGTTTTTTTTTTTTATTATTTTTTGTCTATGATCGTTTTTCTTCTCTTTACTGTTTTCCTTTTTTATTCTTTGTTTGTGGTGCTTAATGATGGTCGTTATACTGTTACATGTATAATCATTTAAATTGTATATATAGCACAAGTTAAATTATAACGGTAATAATAATAAAATTTGAAATTCTTCGTTGTTTGATCTTAAAACATTCACACTGTTCTTTTTTTGTTTTCTATTTCTTTTTTTTTTTTGTGTTTTTTTTTTATTTTATTTTTAGTATAATTTTCAAACGTTCCTTTATTTTTATTTGATTCCTTTTCGATTTATTTAACTTATTAGCGTTCTCTTTTTTTTGGTTTAACATTTTCCTTTTGAACTTAAGGACTTCTTTTTGGTTAATTTACTCTTTTTTTTATCGCATGCGTCTTTTTTTCTTATTTTCTTTATTGTTTATATTTTTTTGGTATGCATATACAAACCCATGTATTTATACATACATACCTTATACTTAAATTTTTGTAAATACAAATGTACGTACATATGTATGTTTGAACGTATGTATACGTGTTTATTAAAATTTTATTAGTTTTTTATTCTTTTAGTTGATTTTTCAAGCTTTTGTCTTTTAAATTCTATTTTTTCTTTCATTTTCTTTCATATAGATTGTTTTTTTTTTTTAATTTTTTTTTATTTTAACTTTAGATCCAAAATGTCTTTTAAAGTAAGCAGATTTCTGTCAAGTTTTATTTCACATTAATTTCTTCTTGTCGTTTTTTTTTTTCATTAAAAATTCGCATTTGAAGAAGCCTTTTAAAGAAAAAAACAAAAAAAAAATTTAAAACATAAGAAAATGGTAAATTTGGAATCCATTTTGAGAAAATTCTTAATGCTCTAATAAAAAAAGAATAATGAAATTTTACATAATAAACGATAAAAGGTTTCTTCTTTTTAGTTTCACTTTTTATCCTGCATTTACATGTAAATACTTGCGTGTACATGAATACATATACATGTACGAATATATAGACACATGCACATGAATAAGTAGGTTAAGTTTATCTATAAAATTTTAAAATTTTTATTTTGTACAAGGAAAAACAAGTAATTTATTTAAATATAATGTATAAGGTAAAATTATAATAAAGTTTCTGCATTTATTGATGTTTCAAAATTTTAAAATGGAAGAATTTTCTATTAAAAAATTTCCATTTAATTTTATTGAAATTTAATATGTTTCGAAAATATTTGGAAAATTTATGAAAATATTAATTTCATTTAACAAAAAATTGTTATTGAAGCATTTTTGATGGATATTTTTCTATATCAGAGTAGTTTCAAAGAAATTAATCGAAAGAAAACTCAAGAACTTAACCGAAAATCTTTTTTCAACTTGGATTTTCTGTAAGGTTTCCTTAAATGATTTAATTTATGACAAGATAAAATGATGAAATTACCCTATACTTTAGTGATATTACCCTATATTTAAGTTTCTACTGATCAATAGCAATGATATTTTAGTTACGGTTTAGCTGTTTCTTTAACAAAATAAATTTCAATGTGTTGCAAGTCAGTAAGATTGCTTTTATTCAGTTTTCGAAAATCCAAGAGTAACTCTAAACATATTTTATTAAATCTTCCATTTCTTTTACATCGTTTACCTAAAATATATCTTTTCTTTTTGCTTAATGCAAATATTGTAGCCATACAAACATCTTGTAAAATACAGAAATTATTAAAACTTAAACATTTTTCTTGCCAAAAATTTCATACATAAAATTGAATAAAAATTGAATAAAAATATAATTTAAATATAATAGAAAATGTATATTATTCTGAAGTGCTCATACTCCACTGTATTTCAAAATTAATTAAAATAATGCATAAAATTGTAAAAATGTCTTTTTTTAACTTAATGGAAATTTCAACTTAATGGAAATTTCTTCATACAACTGCAGAACAGATGGATGAAGTAAAAAAAAGAAAAAATAATTAAAAAATTTTTCTCCTCGAAATGGACTCGAACCAGTGACCTACCGCTTTCTAGGCGGACGCTCCACCAACTGAGCTACAGAGGTATGAACAAAATTGCCGAAGAAATGTTCTTTACATTGCTTTATACTGTAATCCACATGATTACTAAGTATTTCTTTACATTATTAGTGTAATAAGCACATTACTTATTAATTTCTCAATTACAATGTTGTATTAGAAAATTCATAATGTAGAAATGTAGTTTTAATAATTATTTCAAATTCCATGAAGGACACAAAATAGCATTTACTTTATATAAATATAAAAGCATAAATTTGGTTCTTGGTAGAGATTCATTATCCGATTTTCAGATCCCATTTTCAGTTAGACATGTATAAACTCTCGCTTAGGATTTGTCATCTTTCTAAAAGCGGTTTATTTACGCTTCCATAGTATAAAGAAAGGCATTTGCACCAAAATTCCTACTTATGAAATTTGGTGTTGTGGCACAACCTCCCTTGTAACATACAATTCAATCGGTTTTAAAGATAACAAAAAAATTTCTTGTGCATACATATGTGGATCACTTCATTTTTTAAAGTAAGTTGAACATAATCCACACACATGTGTTAAAGTAATAAAGGGCTAAAAATTCTTAATTAATATCCAACATCCACAAATTAATAATGCTATTAACCAAATTAAAACACGCGCATTGTTTTTGTCGAACAATGCTAATTTTCAATTTATTTATTATTTCTAATCGGTTTATATATTAGTTTTCTCATACTAACCAGTTTCTTTGAATATTCTATGCAAGAAATTGACTGACTGCAAACAAGAAGAAAAACACATCACTTTGTTTGAATTTGGTCGCCATTGTTAAGAAAAAACTCTTGAAATAAATATGGATGTATGTAATTTGTTTCAAATTCTAAACAAAAAGAAATTATCATAAATATATTAATTCTGTCGTACCAAATGTATTCTGTTATTTTACCAATCTACCTCTCACCACTTTGGTCCTCTGAACAGTTTCGCGCTGATTCTTTTATATTCGTACAAATGAATATTCGAAAGGTATTACAATTTTACCTCGACGCTTATAACGCTATGAAATTGACATCTGAGATGCAGATATATATAAATTTTAGCTCAATGTCGAACTATGAGTCGAATTTGAATTTTTTTTTCGCCCGTCACAACGATTACTTAAAAAGAAATTAAGCCACGATTAACAAATTTTCATATAACACTTCAAAATATTAATGCATGAACCTGATTTAATTTGGATTTGATCGAAGCATTGGTTTGAGTATTATTGCCACAAAACTATGAAAAATAGTTTACTCGTATCTTGGAAACAAAAAATTATACGTCAATCAATAAAAAGTTGGGTCAAACCAATGGTTTGTATTGTAGCACTTTTCCCTTTAACAAGTGAAAATTCTGCTTTTAAATACAGTCTATGTATACCTATCACACTATTTAAATTATTTTCATTCATATACAAAACTCTTTCTAGGATTGCATATATTCAGGATGATGCATACTTCTTTGAAATAAAGCAAAAATTAATATAAAGAGGGGTTAACATAATGCTCGATTTTAAGGGTTAATTGTGTGAGTTAAGAAAAATAATTACATTTTTTAATGTCATGGAATTTACCGTTAGCTTTTTGTGTTTATAGAAATTTCAAAAAGCTTGCGGTTTCGGAACTATAAGGTGTCAAAAATTCAAATTTTACGAATTTCAAGAGGCAATAACTTGAGAGGGGATGGAGATGCAAAAAAATTTTCTTCTAACGAAATAAACTATTTATTAATGTCTAAAAGTACCTAAAATTTCAAGCTTCTACAGGCTGGGGTCTAGAAGAAAAACGAAATAAAAAATTTGGAAAAAAGGGACTTTAGATAACGGTAAATTTGAACGGCCATTTTGTTTTTCTAAAGTTTAACTATAGTATACCGCGCTAGGGGAAGCAAGCCACTGCCTTTTTGCGTTCGCAAAGTTTTACAAATGCTTACGGTTTCAATGCAACAAATAGTTAAAAAAGGCCATTTTTAGGGTTTTGGGGAGGTATAACTTCTACAGGGGGGGAGATAGGTAAAATGTTTGTTCTACGGAAATAAGTTTCTAGTAAAGATCTATGTACGTACAAAATTTCAGCTTTCTATCTTCAAGGGTGTAGAAGTTTTGTAAACAGACACACGGACAGACGGACGGACGGACGGATGGAGTGAAACTAATAAGCACTTTTTTTCAAAAATTTTTTGGAAAAGTGCTAAAAAGTATTAATGCACTAGTTCAAGTTTGATTGTGATTGTAAAAATTTAACAATAGCTGCTATAATAACTCTAAAAATAATTTGGTCATATCTCAGAAACTAGGCATTACATATATACAGTACTCAAATTTTCATAATCGTGTTGCGAAAAGAAAGAAGCGTCCTATTCTCAAAAAATGTTTACACTCTATAAACTCTTCTGTCAGATGTCAAATAACTCTAGTAAAGCTTTTGTACGTATCAAAAAGTTGGCACGGTCAACTATATCTTTTCTCATTTTATCTTTTATACATTTACAAATTTAATTCTACAATTTTTTTACTAACAAAATATTTTCTTTTTCTTTTAAAGAGACCACAATACACAGATTGCTTATGAAGGCTTATATATATACATATGCATCATGAATATACGCAAGCAGCAGCTAAACTAAGAGAAGTTTTCTTTAGACAACGTTATCTAAAAGGAATATTTTACCTTTGTGTAATACATACACATACAAATATACTTAAGAAATGTTATTTAAAAAGGGAGACCAAAAGAAAGTCATCTCTAATTATGTACTTTCTTTTTAGAACTTTCTTGAGTAAAACTTTTTTTATTTATTATTATGCTTTTATTATGAAAAACTTTTAAACCAATTTTGAAAATAATTAATAATAACAATTTTCAGAGTCGTAAATATGCCACATAATTAATTTTAATTACTTTATGTGTATAAAAGTAATGTCCCAGCTGACATTTTTCTAACCAGTCTTCTGTAAATAATTTTAAAACTCGCCATAAATTTAATTCAAGTATGTTTGTATGTATGTGATTCTATCATATTATCTCTCCAAAACTTTGCAAAACACATTATGATATTCAAAAACTTTTTTTAAAGTTTTGTTTAGTATAAAATTCATATTATATAACAATACAAACTGGACATATGAGATCATTCTCTTACGTCTTTTGGCAAAATTTATTAATACCTATTTGAATTCTACGTGTACTATGTCGATACATGGTTTTTTCATTAAAATTTTCTTTTAATAAAAGTAAGGAAAACGAAATTCATCGGTAATAAATTTAAGAGTAATCCTCAAATCAGTTGTATTTTTCTTATATGCCCGGTAAACTCATATGAAACTTTTTTTTTTCAAAAATTACAGAAGAAGATGCTATAAAAATTTGTTTTTTAGGTCTTGCAGCATTAAAGGAAAATGGGGTAGAGTTTCTATGCGTCATACGTAATATTTATATTTTTGCTAAACCTTACATTAAGAAAAAAAATCTGATGTCACCAGCACATAACCGTTAGTAATTCATATTTTCTGAATAATATTAAGAAATAACGTACCCATCAACACTTATTATTTGGAAGGACAACTTTGCACAAGATTCTGGGACTGTCCTTTAAACACTAACTTCCAGTTTTAATTAATAAGTAACGTTAATGTGCCACCAAAAATGTAATTTTGGATCTTAACTCATTTCCTATATAATTGGATTCCCGTGA